CCCCCCACCCCGGGCCTCTCCCCAGACCTCCTGCCCACCTGGCCCTCCCAGAATGAACCGAATACATCCTATATGACCCCATTTCTATAGAACTGCAAAACAGGTGAAACCGAATCTCTATTAGAAGTCAGGACAGTGGTTGCCCTTAGAGAGAGGGTGTGACTGAGGGGACTTTGAGGAGGGCTCTGGCCGCTGGTGATGTCTGTTCCTCTGTCTGGGTGCTCAGTTTATGCAAATTGATCAGGCTGCACCTCTGGGAGACATCTGCGTACACACACACATACGCACACACACTTCTCTATATACCGGGGGTGCCAAAACAATGTGTACAAGTGGACACTTTGGTCAGCGTTGCTCAAGCAGTGGTTCGCGGTCATCAGACAGGAACCACTTTGAGCACCTCTTGTAATTGCAGAAGTCAAATGTGACTTGTATTCATCTTTTGTTATCGGTATATATGGAGGATTACAATTTTAATACAGTTTTTTCCTTTCTTAAAATGTGTAGACATTTTTGGGGCACCCTCTGGATATGGGCTGTTTTCATAAAAAGCAAACCAAAAATTTTCCACACTGAGTTCTGAATTCTCTTTCTGAAATGTAAACCCAGCTACATCCTGCTGAAACGCCTTTCATAGCTCCCAACTTGCACAGGACATTGCAACATGGCAGCCGTGACCCTCCGTGACCTGGTGACTCTCTCCCTCTGTTGCTCTACGTTTCCAGTCTGTGGCATGGACCTTGTGCACCGTCCCTGTCTCCCTATCTGCACACGTTTCCCCCAAACTCTCCACCATTGTTCACGCCTCTGTGCCTTTGCATAGGCTGTTCTCTCTGCCGGAACTGCCTTTACCACTTGTTTGCCCTGAAAACTTCTATTTATCCTTCAAAGACCAACTTAGACACAACCTCTTCTGAAACGCCACCCTGAACCCCAGAGGCCCCACAGGGACTGGTCCTATTAGTGCCCATCACACTGCATTGAGGTCACCTCCTCCACTAGACTGGATACCCCCTGAGGACAGGCACTGGGTCCTGTCCTTCCGGGGGCCCCCCTTGTCCCTCGTGGGGTTGGCACACAGCAAGAATTTAGTAAAGGTTTGTTGAATGAATGAAGGAAGGAACGGGGGCCATGTTACAGGCACTGGATGGCCCACTTGGGGTTGGAAACCCGGGTCCTGACTCTGGAAGCCATAGTGGCCTCTGACACACCTGGGCTGAGCTGGGTTCTAAGTCACTCCTGCTCCCTGCCCCTCTACCCCTCAGTGAGCTGGGATTCCTGGCAGCCACCAGCTGGCAATTTTTGCGAAAACAATCTCCAAAGCTTGTAGGGTCACTCAGTTAATATTTCGGGGACTTGTGACAACGTGGTGGCTCCGCAACTGCGACCCTGAGTCTTGTCTGAGTCATTTCTCACTTCAGTTTCTAGAATGGGCTCTTGTTGGCTCCCTCAACCTCTCTGTTTTCCGCCTGAAATCGATTTACAATTCTGCTGCTCACTTAATTTATTTAGTGCGTTTTATTGATTTATGTCATGGAACTGAAATGTGCATAGATTAGAACATGCTGAGCAGGGAGGGGACAGGGAACCAACTTCCACGGCTGCCCAAACCCTGACGTGGGGGCTGTGAGTGGGTCAGCCGGCCTGCTGCAGCCCAGATATGCCAGGTGGCTGGGGCATCCTTGCGCCTCTGCATTAATCCTGGGCGATCTTTTCACCTGGTTGCCTGGCGAACTTCTGCTGACCTTCACGAGCCAACCCAAGGCCCTGCCTCTGTCAAGTCCTCCCTCGTCCACAGACTGTCACTTACACCCGCTCTGTGCTCCCAAGTCACCAAGTACCTTACCTGGACTCCAGGGCCTGACGAAATGGGAGCTCTGATCATTTTTATTCCAACGGGATGGACGGACACAACGAGGCAGGAGGAGCTGGCCAAAGTGGCTCATACATTGTTGTTCCCTCTTGCCTGCCATTCCCAGGCAACGTCAAGTTCATTCTGGCCAAGGGTGGGGATGACCAACTGTCTGAATGGCCCCGACCCATCTGTGGGAGCAGCAGAGCCCCCACAGGAGACCATTTCCTGGCCATTCTCAAGAAACTCCCCACACAGGTGCCTCACCAATCATTTGATTCTTGGAGGCAGAGCCGACTGCAGCCTTGCTTTCAGGACTGGGCCGCAGTGACCTCTGGCCACCTTGCCTCAGGCCAGTGGTCAGCATCCTTGTGCCAGGCTGTGTGCCAGGATCTGGGGCAGTGAGTAGAGTCACCCACAGCCCCTGTTCTCGAGGAGCCTTCTGGAGGGAGGGGCAGACAAAGAGGAAGAGCGTCACTGTGAATCAGGGGCCCAGATGGGGTGGGCAGAGGGCTGTGGAAGAAAGTATTGCAGCCTGGGAAAGCTGTGTACAGGGTGCCATGTGGGAAGGGTCCTCAAGGAGGAGTGGCATTCCACCTCATGCCTGAGGAGCTCAGGGGAGGCCATTCCTAGAGAATGAATGGCATGTGCCAAAGAGGGAGACCCAGTGTCCCCAGTGCCAGGCACATGGCAGGTTTGCAAT